TATCTATATATCATTCTCTCTCTTTCTATCTATATCTATCTTTCTATCTATCTATCTATCTATCTATCTATCTATCTATCTATCTATCTATCTATCTATCTATCTAATCACTGTTTCTCTCTCTCTCTCTCTGTGTGTGTGTATATATATATTTATATATATATATATAAATATATAAATATATATTTATATATTTATGTATATATATATACATACATACATACACACACACACATACATATATATATATATATATGTGTTATATTTGTGCTGATATATTTGTGCTACATATATATGTATATGTATACATATACGTACACAAACACACACACACACAAAATCACTGCCTCTGTCTGTCTCTACCTCTCTAAACTGTCTCTATCCCCCCTCTCCCCCTCCCTACTTCAGTTTCGTAAAGGGGGACCACCTCTCCGCAGACGGGATGCCGCTGTCGGGACCCCCACCCCACCCCCATCACTTTCCCTCTCTCTAAAGACACGCAGAGTCCCCTCCCCACCCAAGAAGCCCACTGGAGCCGCCTGCCAAGCGCGTCTCAGCTTCGCATCCCAGAGAACGAGAGAGAGAGGGGGGGGGCAGAAAAGTTGGCTTACTTTCGTTGGGGACCCCCTCCGGATCGACCCTCCGTCTCCTGCCGTCCTCTAAGGTCAAGATCAGGGGGACGTCGTCCTCTTCGAGGCACCCAGCCATGGAGAGGGGGAGAAGAAGCCCACCGCCCTCCCCGAACCGGCTCTGCTGCACGGGGCGCTCCTGGTTTTTCCCCCCCTCCCTCTCTCCTTTGCTTGTTTGTTTGATGATCAAAGCGGGAGCCCGTCTCGGGGATTTGCCGGCGTTCCCATGATCTTGGGCCAACGCGTGTCGGCAAAAAGTGTCGTTTGCAAAAAAGAAAAGGAAAGAAGAAGAAATGCAATGCAATGCAAATGCAAATGGAATTGCAAACGCCAAGGGCTCTTTCCCGTTTTCGGGCCTCCGCAGCTCTTCTTTCCGACGAGTTAGGAAGGAGGAGGAAGAGGAGGAGGAGGAGGAAGCAGCCAAACACGAGTCCAAAGGAGGCGGGGAAGCAGGCAGCGCGTAAATAAAGCGTGGGAACCTCCAACTTCCCTCCCTCTTCCTTTAAAAAAAAAAATCTCTTTTCAACCCAGGGTTCTAACCCTGGTTTGCAATCATCGTGGTTAGTTCAGAACCTTTCCAGGGCTTGCAGAGGTTAGGTTCTTTTTAACAGAGTTGGAAGGGACCTTATAGGTCATCTAGTCCAACCCCCAATCTCNGAAAGAGAAAGAGGAAGAGGAAAGGCAGGAGGGAAGGAGAGGGAGAGAGAGATAGAGGAAATGCAGGAGGGAAGAGAAAAAGTAAAAGAGAGAGAGACAGACAGACACAGAAAGAAGGAGAGGGAGAGAAAGAAAGAGGAAAGGCAAGAAAGGCATCCAAAAATCGGGTTGGCTGAGCAAAATCCCCTTTGCCAACCTGCAGACAGTCCTCATTTTACAGCCAGAATGGAGCCCAGAATTTCTGCTGCTACGTGGAACATTGGTTAATTTGAGTTCCGCCTCGTTTCACGAGCTTCCCTGCCACGGTTGTTAAGTGAAATGCTGCGGTTGTTAAGTGAGTAACACAGGGGGGTGGGGGTGGGGATGAAGTGAATTCAGCTTCCCCATTGGCTCGGCTCGTCAGAAGGTCGCAAAAGCGGATCACGGCACCCTGCAACCGTCACCAATACGAGTCAGTGGCCAAGCATCTCCATTTTGATCACCTGACCACGGACACGCTGCAACAGAGGTTAAGTGTGAACAACAGTCGTAAGTCCATTTTTTCACTGCCGTTGTAAACTTTGAACATGAGCTGTTGTAAGTCAAGGTGCCCACACCCATAATGCAACACGCGTGTGACACACAAACCCTGCGTGGCCTGCCGCCCTGCGCACGCACCTCTGCCTCGTTTTGGGCCTAGCGGGGGCCCCTGAAGCCTCCTGGGACCGAAAACGGGGCTGTGGGGGCGCCCCAGCGCACGCCGGCTCGTCTCCCGCATGTGCCTTGCCTCGGGCGCATATGTGGCAGACTCAAAAATCAGCTGACCAGTGGATGGGGCGCGTGCATGCGCGGTGGAACTGAGTTGGGCAACGCCTCGCGTGCCCACAGAGAGGGTCTCCGCGTGCTCCAGGTTTGCCATCCCGGAGTTAGACCGAACTGGCTTTTAGGAATTCACTACTCAGAGACAACAACAGGCGCATTTTTCCTGAGTGGGCTGGATGCTTTGCAGGAGCAGATGTACTGTGGCATTTTCTTACTTCCTTTGGGCCACATTTATATTTTTCCCGCCTCCGTGTTGTGAATCACCCCATCCTCCTCCTTTGCTGGGGAAAATCTCTTTCTAGGGACTCGAGGAGTCAAATCGCAGGGTTTTTTTTTTTAAAATTAAAAATAATAATAATCTATTCTTTTGTTCCTAGCTTTGCAACCCCAGAGCATGATAGCCACAGTCCCTCGGCTAGCATGCAGAGTGGTGGAATAAAAATCGGAGGGTGTTTTTAAAAAATAAAAAATAAAATAAATAATAATAATTACAAAATGGATTTTTAAATTTCGAATTGGTTTTTTTAAAATTTAAATCAGATTTTTCCCGAATCTGATTTTAATAAAATGCTTTTGGAGTAACCAAAAAAAAAATATCTATCTAAAGATAATATTCTATTTAAGATACATTAGTCATTTAGTTTGGGACGCAGTGGCTCAGAAGCTGGGCTTGTCGATCAGAAAGGTCCGGAGGTTTGGCAGTTTGAATCCCGAGCAACGCCTAACAGGAGGGAGCTCCTGTGACTTGTCCCAGCTTCTGCCAACCTAGCAGTTCGAAAGCCCGTAAAAAATGCAAGTAGAAAAATAGGAGCCACTTTTGTTGGGAAGGGAACAGCGTTCCGTGCGCCTTCGGCGTTGAGTCATGCTGGCCACATGACCACAGAGATGTCTTCGGACAGCGCTGGCTCTTCAGCTTTGAAACTGAGATGAGCACCGCCCCCTAGAGTCAGGAACGACTAGCACATATATGCGAGGGAACCTTTACCTTAATAATTTAGTTTATTTGGCATGAAATGGAGTGTAGTTAGGCTGCATATTCTGCACTATTGCCCTTTTAAAAAAAATCATGATTTAAATCAAGTTGATTTAAATCAAGCCTTTTTACTAGTGATTTAAATCGTGCTTTCAATCGCCTGTATTTAAATCAAGTCCACCCCGAGTGACAAAATCACTCCCCCATTTCTTTAAATCAAGTTGATTTAAATCAAGCCTTTTTACTAGTGATTTAAATCGTGATACAAATCGACCGGATTTAAATCAAATCCACCCTGAGTGACA